ATCAACGAAGCTCCCTCATGCAACAGAGGGCAATGAACACAAAATGTCACAAATGGCCATATCGTGGTGAATACTAGTCTGCAGAGTGTAGGTTCCTGGACAGGACTCCTAAATTAAACTTCACCCACCCAGGGCTCAGTGACCATTGCAGAAGAGGGAGCGAAAAGATTGTAAGAGCCAGGGAGGAGGTGCATGACCATATGAAAATAGAGTCCTACAAGCTCCTGGGACCTTGCTCATGTGAACCTATAGTAATGGTGTCAGCATGCACAAGACCCATGTAAACTCAAGCAGACAAAACCCCAGCACAGAACTGTGGAAATGGGAAACAAGCCTCAATCTTAGCAGAAGAATTATTGGTAGCCAATTACTGCTGGGTGAAGAATAACTGAACTTCTCTAGATAGGCTGCCTAGACCTCAATGAAGAATAACTGAACTTCTTAAAGGGAAGGGCTCTAGATAGGCTGCCTAGACCTTCAGTGGGTGAACTTGCACTGAGGGATGTCTGGGAACACGAACTTAACATGATAGGCCTTAACACAATTGACAGAATGTGTTAATTCCAGTGGGTGGTTATGGGAGGGTGCCAGTGGGGATGGGGGGGTATAAAGATGAAATACACAAAAATTGCATAAGAAGTTTACAAATAAATAAATAAAACTTAAGTGAGACAAGTCAAAGCTTCAAAAGTCTATACTAGAACAATAAGAATTCAAAGATACCTACTTTGTTTTTAACAGTGCACAGCATTGGCGTTTATTTACAGAGGAGTGGGCAACCCCATTTAGAGCAGTGCTGGAAAGCCCACACTCAAATATAGATCCTGTGACTTCCCAACAGCTGCGGAAAATGGTAAGAGAGGTGTCTCCTGGTGTTTCAGCTTATATAACCTTTGCCCCTCCCCCACAAGCAGCTAAGGTCAACTGATTAGGTGGGAGGGGTAACTGACTCACCCTTCAACTCCTTGATGAGCATGGGAAGAAGGTGTGACTACAGCTTGCTGGCATAGTAGTCAGAGGACACTTCCAGTTAACACTCTACCCCTTCCTCTGGCTCTTACACTCCTTCCTCCAACCTCTTCCATATAAGTCCCTGAGCCTTGTAGGGGGTGGTAGCTGTAGGATGAAGATATCTACTTTTTATGACTATTTTTGATGTGAAATTGATTTTATTCTAATTCTTTGAGAATTGGTAATGACTGTATAGTGTATTTTATGATAGCTATTTATTAAGTAGAATATTTTAGTCACCAGAAAGTGTAATTTATCTCAAAGCCAATGATATGGAATTTTAATGTATTTTATTGAAAGCTAAAGAGTGGTTAAGTTAATTTATTAAAACCTAATCCAGAGTCTTTAAGATAATGATCATATGTACTGTGGTATGTAAAATTAGACATATACTTAATACAATCTTTGCATTAATAGCTTTGGTAATGACTAGACCATGGTAGCCTGAAATTGCAAATTTTGTCAGCCCTTGTTTCACCGGTCCATCAAAGACATGTAGATCGACTTGGTGTAGGGTACGAGCAATGTGGATGCCAATGATTATCAGTTATATCTCTCTCTTCAGGGAACAAAGGCCAAATGTATCATATTGTAATTGTCTTCACAAATAAATGATATTAGGATTCTACTCTGACTCTATTTGACCAGTAACTACATATGGGTGGTACCGATGGCTGCACAGAGGGAGTGGTTTATGGCTATATTTTTACTTCCAAATCCTTTAATTTATCACTAAGTAGTCAAGCATATATTTTAGTCACATCAGCAAAATCTTATCAGGAAGCTTTCTAAGAAGATATCCTTTGACTCAATAATCAGTTTAAAATTATACTCAAGTTTTGAAAGTATAAAATCACATCTAACTTAACATATAGATTGATAATATACCAAATGATGATTATGAATCTCATTGTCACTTGGCAGCTTATATCTGATGACCATAATATGTCATTTAATAGATTATTTCAGAGCTAGTTTTCCTAGCAATATTTCAGTGTGTAGAATGATTGACCAGAAACAGTAAATGAATCCAGGTCTTTGAGTGAGTCTTTACTCTCAAGCTAACAAAGAGTATAGGCTGGAGTTCAGGGCAGCGTCTTCTAGGATCACTTAGTTCTCACGGCCTTCGGGCAATTGAGAATATGGCTTTTAGTTCCCACTGTTTCTCCTGCTGCTTGAACTACAGAATCTTAAACAGGAACGTGACACTTTTAATCACAGAGGACCAGGAAAAATGCCTTTTTCATTTCTTCAGTGATTAATTCTATCTTATCTCTGCTATCTTCTTTCTCAGGGCTTATTTAAAATATATGTACTGGCTGTCCAGATCTGTTCTCTGTCTCTTTTAAATCTGTCCTTCCTTTTCAGGTTCTCCAAGAACAAGACTTTAGATTAGATGGATTAACAGAGTCCATTATTCTAAGTATTTCTTTAATCCTATTTGAAACTACTACAGCCATTGTATTTGTCATCTGCATACATCGTCCCTGATGCTACTCTATGCCTTTTATATTGATGACTTTTTATTGTCTTGTTTCATGCTATGATTTGGATATGAGTTGCCACCCTAAGAGTTGATGGGCTTTGGGAGATGATCGGATCTTAAGGGGTTTTACCTTATTGGCATATTGAGCTATTGATGAATCTATGGCTGAGTAGGCTATTAGGAGCTGGGTTCTGGTTGGAGGAAGTCACTGAGGTATGCCTGGGAAGAATGTATCCTTTATCACAGACACTCTCTGTTTCTCTGTTTTCTAGTTACCATGAGATGAGCAGCTCTGCTTTAACATACTGTACCAACACACTGTTCTGTCTGTCCTGCCCTAGGCCCACAGCAATAGAGCCAGGCAGCCATGGGTTAATATCCTGACAACCATAAACCAAAATGAATCTTGTTTATGTTTTGTATTTTGTCTCAGTAATGGAAAGCTGACTATAACACTTCATATATGTGATATTTGAGGTTCTCTGTCTACACACACTCCAGGAGAGCAAAACACAGAAGTACAGAAGGATTTCAAGGAAAATTCTCAAGAAGCAGAAGAAATGGGAGGTAGGAAATGCCTCTCTGCCAGAGTGTCTGATGCTTATTCAGGAAAGAGCAAGATCTGTGATGTCAAAGATCCATCTCATCCCAGGTTTAGGAGGAGGGTCATGGGAGGCCAGAAAGTTGAAAATAATTTGAGGAGTTGTAAACTGAGAAGACATACTTTCTTCACTGACAGAGAGGCTAGTAGAGAGGTATCCAGTCACATTCTGGCATACATGAGCCACACGCAGCTGGGCATAGACATACACACAGACTGGCACACAGGCCACTTGGAAGTAGGCACACAGTCTTAAAGACAGATACAAACAGGTAAGTTGACAATGACAAAGACTCAGGCACAGGTAAAGTCTCAGGCTTTTAACCTCAAGGCCATATTTATACAGCCACACAAAAGTGACACTGCACCAAAAATAGTTATACAATAACTAATGTCGCTTTGGGGTTTCTCAGAAATCTGATATCAGTCATTCTGTGCAGACTTATAGCCTTGGATGCCCAGTATTAGCTATCTTCAGCCATGCCATATAGGAGCCAGTACCATGTTGTCTACACATAAACTGGCCCTTATGGTCATCTCTTCCCAACACGGTCCCAGACTGGAGCACAGACATAAGAGCACTTGAGAGAAGTTGATGGTGAGTCCTTTCCCTGAGTTATCTGGCATGAGCTGATTTCCTTGTCACTTTATCATTTTTTAAAGGGCATACATTAGTGCCTTGTAGTGCTGGCGTAGCCCTGGACAGAGAAACCTCAATGGTTGGCTTTGGGGACCAACATGTTTTAGGAGATCTGAGGAGAACATTTCCATGGTGTCCCCAGGATGCTGCTCACTCTTAGCCTGTGTCTTCTTTAACCTTGTAAGAACTGATAAGTTTTAACCACACTGGATGATTTCTCTTCATTGGCTTAACTTAATTAAATGCAGTATGATACCATTTTTTTTTGGTCAGGAAGAAAAGAGGGTTTCATTTAGACCATAGTCACTGCATTATTAACAACCTATTCAGGTCCAGATAAAAGGAGAAAATAAATGTTTGTTTGTTTGGTTGTTTGCTTGTTTGCTTTTTGAGATGGGTTTCCCTGTAGCCTCAGCTGGCCTGGAACTCAGTATGTAGACCAGGCTGAACTTGATCTCACAGAGATCCACCTGCCTCTGCCTCCTGAGTGCTGGAATTAAAGGCGTGTGCCACCCCGTCCTCTGTTTCCTGATATATTAAGGAATTTATTTTCCAAGTCAAAAATAGCTAGACCAATGTTCCTGCTCATCTGTTAAGATTGCAGAAGGGGCTGCCTGGTTTTACTAAGCATGCTCTCTGTCTAGGAATAAGCTGGGAATGGGTGCTGCAGTAAGCAATTTCCTATGTCAGTCTTGGCATTCTTCCCAGAGGTATTCGTTTTTGCTTCTCAGCAACTAAGCAAGAGCTTACCTTTATCCCTCAGGACATTCCCAGGCTGGGATTGTTTGGATGGGTCCAAAAGACAGTTCTATCCTTTTCCACATGGTCTCCCTTTGTGAAGGGAAGTCTTGGGCTCCCCAATTCTCCCCGCAAACAATCTTTTCCCCCACTATCTCTTCTTATATTGTATAGCATATCGATGACACCATTCTCAGCTTCAGTGCTAATAAAGACTTGTATATTGTTTAACACAATCAAGATCTCCATTGGGTAGAAATGGCCTGGATTTGACTGGAGTAAGATATTCTCCTGTAACTTTGTATTGGTGATTTGTACAGAAAGGTAAAAAAAAGAGGATGTCAAAATATAAAACTTAATTTTGTAAATGCATTAGGCTCAAGTCTGCTCAAGGGAGCTATAGTGACAGAATACAGGTTGCTAGAAGTGGCAGTGGCTCCTGAAAGAGTATTCACCCTGCCCAAGGGAGGGAACAAGCTGGAGAGTCACAGACTGAGGGAATGCACTATACTGTGGTGCAGGTACTCTGTGGCCAGAGGTGTTGAAACTGTCCAACCTGTCACTCTGGTAGGATGTATAATACTGGGGACAGAAAAGGGTATGGATGAGCTATCTCAGAAAACTCCACACACAAGTGGGCACCAAACAATCTAAGCATAACAAAGGAAGAAAGATTTCTCTGTCCATTCTCAAGAGGCTGATGAGCCTCCATGATTCCAGGAGAACTGATGGAAATCATTTCAAAACACTCTGAACCCCAAAGTGCCCATTTGTTGGATGAGTATTTCAGTCTTCTGTGTGCTATGTACACATCTTTCTTCTAAGTGGTCCATCCTTCCTAGAGGATTGGCCTGGAGAAGAAAAATTGCCTCTGGGTTCATAGTCACCCAGGCCCTAGAGAAAAGAGGATAGAGAACTGACAACTAGACAGTTAATGTCTCATAAAAAGGAACATCATCTAGGGGCCACAAGAATGTAAAAGACTCTTGACTCTGCCCAGTGTTTTCCTGCCCCTTTGGGTGCTTCCTGTTAGTCAGGCAGATGCTCAGAGAAATCACTAGACTTCCTGCTGAGTCAGTTATGAGCAAACACATCTTTCTTCAATGATTATTTTCTTTAAGAGATAACACAGCTACTCTCTTATGAGTATCACATTTTTCATCCGACTAAGCTGATTTCCCCTTATCTAATGAGGAACATTTGTCTCTAGAATGCTGTCAAAATGCAGGTTCCTGTTAACAGAGATGGGCTTCCTGCTCCATCTAAGGAATGGGAAGGTAGACACAGATAGATTCCTCTGGGTAGCAAAGCGCCCACTTGATAGGAACCCCAAGTTCATCTAACCACAGGAATTCCTCTCCCCACATAATGTGTTTTTTTTTGTTGTGAGCCAAGCAGAACTTGACGTCAGCACCTATCATCTCGCTCTCCTCTGCCTCTTTCTCCCTTGATGCATCCCTTCCCCCAGTAATCACTACACTATCCACTCTCTGACAAAACATTGTTGTGGTTTCTCTGGCAAGATGAATAAGAAACTAATACTAGAATAGAGTTAAGTCATTAGGGTGTTCTCACTCTTCAAAATGAGGCATTAGAAGTTCTAAGTAACAGCCTCTACATTGATTAAATGATAGAATTTCAGATGACACATCATTCAGGAACTTTCTGGAAACCTCTCAGCCACACAGCTTGGTTTGCTGCCCCATTTGTCAATGTGGAAGGTAAGACCCTCTAACAGAAAGATTACATCCCATAGACTTAGCTGTTTGGATCTTTTCTGCAGATATGGGGAATTTCAACTTACCCATATCCTATTTCCAAACCTTCTGAGGAGCCTCAACTTTAATTCCAATTAATACACAAGAGCATCTATTCTGTGTTACTTCTTCACTCATGTTCTCTCACATAATCAAACCAACAACGTTTCTATGTTCTGGAAAGAAGAAGTTAAACATCTCAGATGTTAGGTGACATGACCAAGGGCGCACACCAAATAAGGTCTCAAACCCAAAGCTGATCTTGGTTCAAACACTACAATAAGCTTTTTGACTTTCTCTGTATCTTACAATTATGTAAATTTAAATTTGCCCCCTTAACCTTCAAAGATGTGCTAATAAAACTGCCTTGGTTCTAAGTAGTGTTTTCTTTTCATTAGTTTCTCAAAATAAAATCTCCTCTCTTGAGTAGTCATGGAGCCTCACTTCCAAGTTCAGTTTTCCAGCAAAATTGAATGGCAGCAAAGGTGTTAAAATGTGCTTTCCATCATTACAATCTTCAGAAAGCCTCAAGAGTCCTATTTCTTTCACTTGTTCTCCTCCAGATGACCCTTTAAGTGGAAGAATATCCTTTTGTATCACATAATCTAGTTGAGTAGTTCCAAACATAGATTGACTGCACAGAAATCACCTGAAATACTGATTTTCATCAAAAGGCAGATTTCCCAGGCTTCTCCTGAAGATTCTGACTTAGTTGCTTGGGTTGGGGCCATCTTAGTGGTTTGATGCAAGCTGTATCTAGGAGCTCTGAGGCTAGTTGGAAAGTCTAGTTTGTGAAGCTGGAGATCAAAGTTTGGTCCTGGAATAAAGACTACTTCCCAGAGCTGAGCATGCTCCTTTGTGAACTGGGGTGAGTCATTTTTTGTATTTGCATTCCTTCTGACGTGACACGTTACAGTAGGTTATGCTATGAGTATTGACGCATGTGGGCCACATGTTAAACAATAAGAGCTTATTTCTGTCCCTTTTCTCCTCAGGCTCTGCCAAGATAGCATGCAAAGAGTATGCATGCAATATCTGATGAGGTTTCATTGATGAATATGATTTCTTCCTTGTAAAGAATAGAGACAGACTCCATCCTGAGATCTCAGAGGTGACTTCTGTCAATTTCTCCTGCCTGTTGGACTCCTTCCTACTCTGAAATTTTATGACCTACTCCTTTAGCTTTATTCTTACTTTTTATTTTATTTGCAAATAGTTTGTTATTGTTATTTTATGTGTATGAGTGTACTTTCTGAAGGTAAGTGTAGTGATGTTGGAGGTCAGAAGAAGACATCGAATCCCCTGGAACTGGAGTCACAGACACATGTGAGCTGCCACAGGGGTGCTGGGAATGGAAGCCTGGTCTTCTGCAAGAGCAGCTAATGCTCTAACAGCTGAAGCATCTCTCCAGACTCTAACCTCACCTTTTATACTATAGAGGAAAAAGCATCCCCCTTGCTTTCAGAATCCTTTTGTGTGTGTACCTTTCCCAAATTGCTTCCAAGATCATCAGTTTTCTTTCTATCAATCCAAGGCTGAGGCTACTTGTAACTTGTCTCAAACTTGAATGTGCATTAGAAGGACTCCGGGAGCTTGGCAACAATGCAGTCTTTCAAGTTCATACTCCTGCTAGTCTGATCAGTTGAGCTAGGTGATGCTCAGAACATGGCATTTAGCAAGCATTCCAGGGAATTCTTTGTGGGTGATCTGAGGAGCACAGTTAAGGAGAGAACGCTGCATCTTGTGTATTCTTGTTAAGTGGGAATGCAGCACTTCTGGCTGCCATTACAAGATTTGTGGCATTTGGAAGGCAACGACTTGAAAAAAGATTTAGCAGAGCATTATAGAGCCTGGGTATTCAAAGTAAGTTCTGCAAACCAGCAACCTCTTCTCACCTTCAAGTCCATTAGACATGCGGAATCTCAGGCCCAATCTGAACCTCTGCGTGGGGATCTGTATTTTAATGAAGCTCTCAGGGGCTGAGTCCTCATTAGTAGGATGCATGCTGACAATGAAAGAACATGGATTTGAAATGAAGTTGATTTTGGATTCAGTCTTTGTGTCATAACGTAGTGTGTGTACGCATGTGGCTAGAGGCTGCTTCTCAGAGCATCTTCTTCCTCATCAACGAAGTTCATAGAAACCACAAACATTGTTGGATTTAATCCTTCCTGGCTCGATGGGTATGTCGTTCAGAATTTCTGACCCCAAGTAACTGTCTGTTTCTTAGTACTTCTATCTTTGTAAAGTAACAGTGTCCAAAATTCATATGAGGAATAAGTACATTGCTTAAGAAATCAAATTGTTGTTTAGCCATTACGGGTAGACGACTTAGATATACAGAATTATACAGAGAATTTCTTGATAGATATGAAAGGCTGTTTGCAAAGAGAAGTGCAAGGACATTTCTTGTGTGACTGAGGGGGAAAGAAAGGTACAAGCATGGTTGCTAAGGACTACAGAAGTGTTGCTTTCTCCTTTCTAACAGATTCACAGAACTTAACTATCTGGCTCTGGAGATGGGGAGAGGGGAACAGGGAGCTAACAAGGGACACCAGCTTGCTTATAACTTGCTGGTGTTGAGAAATGACCATTAAACTAGGAAGGAATTAGAATTTTCTGTCTAATGCCAAGTCTAAGTGTGGGCAGTGTCAGGGTGAAACTTAGGAGAATGTTAAGCTTTCAAGAAACTCTGGCTAAAGTATTGAGGGGCATTCCAGAAAGCCACAGTGGGATAGTGCAACATGCATAGTGTGAGCTCATAGTGTTATTTTTTACCTAGATAGGCAGTGACCCTATCTGTGCTGTAGCTTCTAAAAATATGGCACCTAACTGGAGTCCCCACTAGGCCATTTACTACCTGTGCATTTTGGGCAGCTTACTTAACCTCTTTATGTCTTTCTATTATTCAATATGTAGGTGATCATAAAACATATGCCATGGAACTATTAAGAGGTTCAAGTCAGACAATACATTCAAATGGTCCAGCACTGACTATTGCCATTTCAAAAGTTATTATTAAATTCACTATATAGCATCCATAATTAGAGACAGCCATTGAATTTTCAAATATGAAGTCAACTAGAAGTCTTTGTGCCTCTAAGTGACCTTGAAAGTTTTGAATTTGACTTACATTCAAAGTTATTTCTGTCAGTCTTGATAGAAATTGGGATTATGTGCTCATCTTGTCTTATAATTTAGACATTTCCAAGTGTTCAGCAAAGGGAATATATATTCAGTGATACCTCATGAAAGTAATTGCTCAGTTCATGAAGGTGATAAAGCTGCTCCAATTCTGTTATCTCAGTGACTTATTAGCAGGGTATCTTGAGACAAAGAGAGTCCTTCTCTGTAGCTGGGCTTCTCTTTTCCATGCTTCCTCCATGCTCAAAGGAGGGTGCTCAGTAGCCTGGAGATCCTTCTTGCCTGCAGCCCCATACTGTTCTTTCGGTTCAGATGCAGGCCAAGCAGTCTGTGTTTTTGGTTGAAAAAGACTCCCCATTCTTTTAATTAGATCCCTTTAGAAAATGTTCAATAGTCACACCTTCAGTCACAATCAATAAATGACTGGAAATCTATCTGGTCATCATTTTGGTAAGTCGTCCAAGAATGAGCCTAACAGGACAGTGATCACCTCCAGGTGGCTCCAGAACATGAGGTGATGTGTGACACAATAGACAAGCTTGTTCAGGAATGGTTGATTGTGATACTTTGTGTTTTTCAAGTTTTCAAAAATTTTAAGGGCAATATATGGAGTACCCAAGGGTGATCCTATTTCTGCCACCATCACCAATGTCTTCATCAGTATCACCCTGAGAGCAGCTATTGATTGAGCATTAGGCACTCAGAAATTCTGCATACAAAATAGAAAATTGATAAGCAACATACCTTTTGCTGGTTGTGGTGGTAAATGCCTTGTAACCCAGCAGGCTCCAGCAGGAGGATGGCAAGTTGGAGGTCAGCCTAAGCTACATACTGAGGTACTTCCTCAACAAACAAACAACAACAACAACAACAAAAGCAAAATTCAGTATATTTATTTACAAACCCTCCAATGTCAGTACTTCCAAAATTTGCCATTGGTTGAATAGAATAATTTAACCTACCATTAGAAAAATAAATAAATCTGTTGACTCTTAGAAGGTATCTAATCAAGTTGAGTGATTTTAGCTATCATAAGACATTCTTTTTCAAAAACAGACAACAAAGCAAACTGTTTATTTTAGGTACTTGTATTCCATTGGTGATAAGCTACTGAATAGAAAGAATGTATTAACCCAAACACTCATTTCTCAATAACAACATAAAAGAAGACTCTATTCACTAAGATATAAGTTAAAAGGAACCAGGACTGCTCTCTCTGACCTACAGGCTTATCTCTCCAGGGCAAGTCTATCGTACCCTCCATGCCTCGACTCCCCCAGCCTCACTCACCCTCCAATCTCCCCCACAGGTCTCTCCTCTTAGCCTGGGTCCTGTCCAATTCCTGCCTTGGCTCCCCAGACACCTGGGAACCACCACTGCTTCCTGATCCTGTGCATCCAGACCAACACAGTTCCTTGTCGGGTCCCTCAGGGTGCTCTGGACCTGGCCCCACCCAAACCTCCCTCTGCCTCCCTGGGTCTGCAAAACCCACCAGCCACTTTCCTGGACGCCAGGGCTGACCATTCCTCTTCCTGGTCCTTTGCATCCAGACCAACCCAGCTCCTAAGTGCAGTCCCCAGGGACACTTGCGGCTGCCTCCTACCCCCATCTTCATTTGCATCTCTGGGTGGCATGGCCACCAGCTGCCCTAGACTTGCATCTTTCCTGGGCCCTGCTCCCAGGCCAGTCCAACCCCCAAATTCCTGAGGCCAAAATCATTCCTGGAGGGATCCAAACCTTAGGAGAAAGCCTAAGAGCATCTGATCTTCATCTGACTTGGGCATCTGTGGGAACTCCTGAAGACAAAAGCAATTGGGCCACTCCAATATGAAATCAAAAGAGAGAACCAGAAGCTTAGAGGAACCAGCTTTCCATGCCCAAAAAGTAAACCACAAAGACATATAAAGTTCACAAAAAGAAGCAGACCTAAACTTGAAGGCTTGAGTCTCACACAAGAATCAGAAACTACAAAAGAAATTCACATATCAAAATCACAGGTAAAAAATAATAACGTGAAAAACCAAAATAACATATCCCCACCAAATACCAATAGTCCTCTAGAGGAGTACAATGAGAACCCCCTAGAGATAATGCAGGACATGGAACTCAAAAGAACAATTATAAACATGATAAAAGAATTCAGTGAATTTAAAGAACACTCAAACAAATCAAAGAACTGAAGGAAGATAGGGCTAAACTTCTCAATGAATTCAGAAGCGTTAGAAATATTGAAGAATACTCATGCTGAAATGAAGAAGGAAGTGAAACACTCAGTAAGCCAATTAGAAATAACAGAAGAAAGCCTCACCAATAGGATGAATGAAATGGAAAATGGATTATCAAGACTGGAAGTTAAAGTGGACGAACTAGACTACACAGCAAAGATTATGAAAAATTTAAGAAATCACAAGAATGGAATATGCAGGAATTATGTGACACGATAAAAACACCAAACTTATGAATCATAGACATACAGGAAAGAAAAGAATCCCAAGATAATGGCATGGACCAGATCTTCAACAGAATCATGGAAGAAAATTTCCCAAAATTAAAGAAAGCAGTGCCCATATAAACACAAGAAGCATACAGAACACCAAACATACAGGACCAGAAAAGAAACTCTCCATGGCACATCATAGTAAAAACACTAAATCTACAAAATAA